TTCTTCTTCTTCTTCTTCTTCTTCTTCTTCTTCTTCTTCTTCTTCTCCTTCTCCTTCTCCTCCTTCTCCTCCTCCTCCTCCTCCTCCTCCTCCTCCTTCTCCTTCTTCTCCTTCTTCTCCTCCTCCTCATGCTATTACTGGGGTTTGAACTCAGAACTTTGTGTTCTTCATTAGGCTTTTTTTTCTGCTCAAGGCTTGTGCTCAACCATTTGAGCCTCACCTTCACTAGTGACTTTTGCTGGTTAAAGAATCTAGTGGAATTTTCTATTTGGGATGGCTTTGAACTGGGATCCTTAGATCTCGGCCTAGCCAGGTGTGAATCATCAGCACCCAGCTAAGGTCTCAGATTTCTTTGCCTTGGCATAGGAAGTAATTTTGTAACAAGATAATAGGATCATGAAAGTGGATCTGTGGTCCATTTGTCTATATGGAAAAGAGAAATCAGTTCACTGTCCCAGTGATGGGACTGATCTTGTCCATGATGATATGGACATTTAGTTTAAGAGGTTTGGAGTATGGAAGAGGAAGAAGGAGAATACATTTCTTTACAACTGTGTATGCTTTACAAATGCAATAGCATCCATATCTGTCGTAATCTCATGAGTGCGATCACACTGCTCCTCACCTCCTTCATGTCCTCATAGAAGAGGTAGAGAATGCGGTGCTGGTCCTTTATGTCCCACCATCCCTTTACATGGTCATACCAGGAGCCCCACAGCACTGAGGAGGAAGAAGATGGAATGTCAGTGAATAAGCTTAATGCCAGCTCAAACCTTACTGAATGACACGATGATAATAACCATAATAATGAGACAAGAATGTAAAAGGGGGACTGTGTGGAAGGGGTCGGGGAGGGAGGAGGGAAAGGAAAGACTACTGTAGGGTGAAGAGGACCATAGTCACACTCACACTCACAAACACACACACTACCAAGCATAGTTTTATTTATTTATTTATTTTAAAAATCCCTTCCCATCTCTCCCACCCCTCACTGTTCTCCTCAACCCCGTGCCAAAGTTGTAAAGTTCGTTTTTCGACATAACATCTGTACATCTCATTGCTGCAATGGGACCACCTGTATCCCTATTTAAATGACTTGTTTTTCCCCTTCCCCTCTACAAATTATACCAACATCAAATACAGTGAAAACAGGGGTTATACCGTTGGGGAGGGACATACAAAACAACAAAGAAATATCTTATAAATATATTAGAAATAATAGCAAGCAAGAAAAATAATTTGAGTCCTTATCTTGGGGTTCATTTCACCTAACCTCAACTTATCTGACTGTTTCTGCTTGTCTCAGACATATACTAGTAATTGCAAATAAGGGAAACCATGGGACCTATGTTTCTTTGGGCCTGGCTTACTTCACTGAATATAATTTTTTCCAAGTCTTTCCATTTCTTAACAAATGGGGCAATGCCATTCTTTCTTTTGTGTATATATACCACATTTTCTTGATTTATTCATCTACTGAGGGGCATCTGGGTTGGTTCCATATCTTAGGTATGGTAAATAACGCTGCAATAAATATAGTTGTCCTGGTAGCTTTAGTATAGTCTTGTTTGGTTAAATGCTCAAAAGTGGGATTGCTGGGTCATAGGGGAGGTCTATGTGGAGTCTTTTGAGGAACCTCCATACTGCTTTCCAAAGTGGTTGAACAAGTTTACACTCCCACCAACAACGCAGTAAGGTTCCCATCTGTCCACATCCCCTCCAGTATCTGTTGTTATTAGAGTTCTTGATTATAGCCAATCTAACTGGGGTGAGGTGGTATCTCAATGTTGTTTTGATTTGCATTTCTTTTATGGCTAGAGAGGCTGAGCATTTCTTCATGTGTCTATTGGCTGTCCTTTCCTCTTCAGAGAAGTTTCTCTTTAAGTCTTTAGCACACTTATTTATTGGTTTTAAAAATGGGGATAGAATGGAGACAGTGAACTTGTTCAAAGCGAATTGTATTATGCATAGGCTAGCAAATGAGATCTTCTCATATTACAATTGTATGCTAATTCAATAATTCAAAATTAGACATTTACTAAATGATCATGACTTTCCCTAATAAAAGAAATCATTTCCTCAGCAATACCAAAACACAGAAATCCAGAGCAGAACTCTTATTTGCAGAAAATAGGTTTTGTTTGTAAGTATTTAGAGAAATGATAAAACTTTTCTGGGTTCCTTGGTTTGTATTTCCATAATTGAATTTACTCCACTGTGAAGTATTGTCCATGTATAGGGCTTCAAAACTTTTATTTGTCGGTATCACTACATAGTATATAGATCAATATTGTGCACTAGATATTGCTTCCTAATGGGTATCGATTTTGAGTAGACTTTCACTTGGAAAAATATATAACTACCAGGTATTTGATCACCTTTGCCCTTTGTAATGGAAGGAAAAGAAACATACTAAGTGTCTTTCATTAGTTCTGCCAACATCACCCTGCCCAGGGCATTACTAATTGAATTCTGTACCTTTTGTCCTATATACTATATAAGTTTATCTGATTTGGGGATGGGAAGGGGAAGCACAGAAACAGTGGGACAAAGGATGAACCAATTCAGTTTGGCTACTCACCAGCATTATGTTGGAGATGAATTATATAACTTGAGAGAAGGGAGCCTGGGAGGGGAAAAACTGGGAGAAAATGAGGGAGGGGGTAACACTGTTCATTACCTTACTTATGTAACTGTAATCCCTCTGTATACCACCTTAAAATTTAAATTATAAAAAAAGAAGAAAAAAAACCTGTGTCACTAGGATTTTTGCCTTCAGGTCTAGAGCCAGATTTTACTGCAAGAGGCACTGGAAAGCTTTGGAGGCCAGAGGACAGGGAGGATAATGTACTTATATCTCAGATGCCTTCCCTGCTGGCTCTCAGTGGTGAGTTAACTGCTGTCCCCACCAAACCCTCCGCTCTTGTCAAGGGTCTTCTCCCATCTCAAGGGGTTGGTACTCCCCAGGAATACTCTATTAGCTTTCTCTGGTTTATCCAAACTCTACTTACAGCTTTATAAATATCCTCTTTGTCAAAGCCTCCCTAGCCAAAGTTACCTAAGTGTGTCATCTCTTTCTTGACAGATGTGTGTGTGTGCATGTGTGTAAGTATGTGTGTGTGTGTGTGTGAGAGAGAGAGAGAGAGACAGAGACAGAGAGAATATGAAAGAGTACTGGGGCTTGAACTCAGGGCCTTCAGTTTTTTTTTTCACTCAAGGCTGGCATTCTACCACTGGAGCCACAGCTCCACTTCTATTTTTTGCTGGCTAATTGGAAATAAAAGTCCTAAGGCTATTTTTTCCAAGGCTGGCTTTGAACCTTGAACCTAAAATCTCAACCTTCTGAGTAGCAGGGATTATAGATGTGAGCCATCAGCACTTGACTTCTTGGCAGATCTTGAAAAATAAAATGATGTCAGCTGATAAGTGAATGAGCAAATAAGAATCCACCATTCTCTTTCACTCACCTTTTCCATTTTTGAATGCTTCAATGTATTCCTCCCATGTACCAGGGTCAGGAACCATTTTATTCATTCTGGAGAAATGATAGTAGGACACCAGACAGTCCTTGGCATTTCTAGCCACATAGATAATCTAGAATTAGCCAGCAAAGGAAGCAAGAGATAGAGAGAGCCAGACAGAAAACATCATTATTTTGTATGGAGGCTCAGGTTCCCAGAAAGCTTTCGTGAATCATTTTGAGCCATCCCACTGGAACAACTGGGTGGACATGGGCTTTCTCTGATCAAAGTGGCCATCACTTCCAGTTTGCCTGTGAACAGTTTTGGTTTGTAGCTGTGGCCTAAGCATTACTATTAAAGAATACATCTTTTCTATCATAGAAGTGTCCCAGTATACATAAATACTAGGACACTTCCTTGGAATCCCAAAGTAGCTTGCCCTCAAGGAGCTGTGCTAGTCTAGCTGATGTAAAAATTTGGTTCTTTTGGGTAGCTATATATATATATATATATATATATTTTTTATTTTTTTTTAGGTCCGGTCATGGGGCCTGAACTCTGGCCTGGGCACTGTCCCTCAGCTCTTCAGCTCAAGGCTAGTGCTCTACCACTTGAGCCACAGCGCCACTTCCGGCTTTTTTCTTTTTGCTTATGGGGGTGCTGAGGAATCGAACCCAGAGCCTCAGGCATGCAAGGCAAGCGCTCTACCACTGAGCCACCTTCCCAGCCCAGCTGGAGTCTCTTGTGCACCTGTATTGCCTTTCCCTTAAAGACCCCCCATTCTCTACTTTTTCTTTTACATGTTTCACATGGACTTCCTTCATATCAAACTCTTCTTTAGCTTCGGCTTATTGGAAGACCCAAATTAAGATAAGGGTCTTCCTCAGGAACGACTTATTTCATCACTCCCTCTCTTTAAATATGGCTTAGTTATACATCATCGAATAATTTGCCTGTAAAACTTCCCAAATAGGTACCCAGAAATAATATTTTGAAGGAGAGATGGGTCCAGAATGTGTGGGCTTTTGGTAGCTTTGGTGATTTCTTTCTTGTTTAAAATTTAATTAATGAATTAAATAATCAATTAATGAGTTAAATAATCAATTAACTTGTCTCATTTGATGTTTTTGCTCAAGGATGGTGCTCTACCACTTGAGCCACAGCTCTACATTCTCCCCTGGTAAACTCTGTTTCAGTGACGGAGGCTTGAAGAGTGGGCTCTTCTTACCTTTGAATTTTCTTTCCAGAATGAAGGTGGTACCATTTGAACAGGAAGATGAGTTTTCATAGTTCTAGGAGAGGGCATTTTGTTAGCCAGATCCAATCCTGGGAAAGGAAGGCACATCATTCAGCCTGATGATTCTCATTCTCATTAACTATCTATGTTAAATGGTAAGAATTATGATTGGCTCCTGTCTAAAATGATGGTTTCACCTCTTTATGTGCCCCCTCTGATGGTGCCTTGCCTGTTCATTCTGGTAGAGGAAGGCATCAACTAGGTATTACAAATTCCTGGATGACAGTGCTAACTCACTAGTTGAGTGTTGATGTGTGTTTATGTGTGTCCGAAGGCGGTGATGTCGTGGGAAACTTGAGGTTGTGAGAGCTACTGCTCCAATAAGTCAGTGTCTCATCTGTCTTTTGAATTCTATTATTCTTCCAATGTGGGGAAGATATGCAGATGGAGAAGTGCTGATATCCTTCTTCAGGGAGGGAGGTTATGAGGCATTATAGAAGTTTTAGCCAGAGAAATGCTGTCTCTCTTCTCCTTTACTCTTCTTAACTTTCTTTCTTTCTTTCTTTCTTTCTTTCTTTCTTTCTTTCTTTCTTTCTTTCTTTCTTTCTTTCTTTCTTTCTTTCTTTCTGTCTTTCTGT